GGGGTGAGCGCGGCCCCGCCCGCCCCCGGGCTGTCTACCGACTCGTCCTCGCTCTGCTCCGCCATCATGACTTGCTGCACCGCCAGGGTGGCCCCGTCCGAGGACAGAGACTGGAGGCTGTCCACATTCATGCTCACGGGCGTGGTGATCGTCACGACGGCGCCTGCGGCAGAACAGGGTGGTCACGAGTCAGAGGCACACGTGCAGGAAGGCGCCTCGTCCCCCAACTGGGTGCTGTCTGCTCATCTGACCACATGTTAAGACCCCTGGTGGCTCTGGGACGCGGCCTCAGCCCTCGCTGAAGGTCTTGGGCGTCAGGGCAGAAACCAAGTGCCACAAGGGGAACAAGAGACACCAGGGAAGGCCAAGATGGACGTAACTGGGGAAACAAAACAAAGGGGGAATACAATCGGAGCAGGAAAGGCCAATGTGAAGGGGGAAAACAGGAAACCCGAGATGTGCCCAGCCCTGTCCGTCTTGGGACCTAGTGACGCCATGTGCTCCTCTGTGAGAACCTCCGGGTGTATTAACCAGGGGTGAAAGCAAGCGGAGACGTTATTACAGGATATGATCACATCTGGGAAAAGATTCACTCGTGTCTGTGCACAATACAATGTCACATGTGCGCTGGGAGCAGGGACAGGATACTGGAAATGAGGGTCGTTCGTCTCTGGAGATTAGACGTCGGGACGGAGGGAAGATTTGTTTTCACTGGACATTCTTATTTGAACGTCTTCCCCAATCGATACGTACTGCCTTTTCCAAGGGAGATGGGGGAGGAGAGAGAGAGAAATAATAGCATTCTAACTGATTATTGGATTAAAAGACAAATCAAAGTTATCTGAATATGAATGGAGGATCACTACGTCTCAGAACCCATGTGATGAAGCCAAACCACGGACCGCAACTCAAGGGGTTAAGGTGGAAATAAAATAAGCATGGTTCATGGCCCACGGTGAGGGCCCATCCCAAGCCCTGGGCCAGCACGGGCTGTGGAAGGACCGAGCACAGTGTCCAGAGCTCAGAGCCGCACT